TTGCTTTCCATACTGGTAGACAACTGCCTCATGGTGGAAAGACTACTGGACAGGTGTGCAGGGACTTGGATTTATGCCCAGGTTTGACAGCTTACATTTTTTGTCTTGGGGCCTCTAATTCCTTACATGTAAAGTAAGGAGGCCGATCTGAACTTCATGATGCTTGTATTTCCTTGACACCTCTGAAACTGACAATTTGTAAATGCCCTGTCCCTTCTTAAAGGGCTGGTTCTGAATCAGCTTTCTGATAGCAACAATCTCAGTGCTTTCTCTATTATGGGAAAAAGTTTAAAAAAGAATGTTCTTATTTTTATGGCAAAAACTCACCCTAGCTATATCCTTCAAAAAGATTCCATAAAGTCATATGTAACATGTGCAGCTCTATGCATATAAATATTTAAGTTCACTGTAGCACTATATATTCAACATTAAAACATCAAAGTGTGAAAATGCTCTTCCTGCCCTCTACAAAAATTTGTTACACAAAACTTTTACATATCCAAATGTTAAATGTAATTCACATCCAGACTGTATCATAAGTTGCCTAGAGACTTTATTAAAATTAGAACTTTTTTGTATATATGGCTCTAAAAAAATCTCAGGCATATTGGTAAGAAATAAACTATAACTGAGGCTGGTTGTGATAGCATACAATTGGTTAGAGAAAATTACTTCTGTTTTACTGATGACTATTTCCATTAATAAACAAATGCTCTATTTTCGGTGTCATAGAAACAGCCCGTGAAGTCTCCATTATGTGGCACCCACTGCCACTGTTATGTAACAGTGTTTTGGGGACAACACCACTGCCGTCAATGCCAAACAGCAGGTGCTCAAGTCCTGTGCACCTGTAGGAAAGAAGCAGGGTGGAGCAAACAGGCCAGAGGAGAGAGGAAAGGACGAGATAGTAAACATGAGCACACACAGATGTGCACACACACTGATCCTGGACAGTTCTGGAGCTTTATTTCAATTCAACGTCCATTTCACAGATACTCCCCACTAAACCCCTCACAGTCCTTCTTGCTCTTGTCTACACATGTACACCAAAATTCCACTGGAATTCCACAGATTCCAGGTTCATACCCCATCTTCAGGAATAAGATAGCAGACTGTGAATTAGAAACAGGCACTCTTCTGTGGGTTTGATATCAGGATATGATAGCTTTATGCAAAAATATCTGTACATATTCACATCACTCCTCCAATAAGGAATTCCCTTTTTTGCCCCAAGTGGAGCAAAGCATTTTCTTCTGGTTATATTATATGCAAGAAAGAGTGGCAAATGCTCTCACAAAAGGTCAGATGATGAAGGATGACAGCATATGCTACCCCAAAATATGCCAGTTTGGCATAGGAATTATTATGAGCTAAAGACAAGTCAAAGAACAGATCCAAAAAAAACTCTACTCTTGCCCTTTCTTGCCAGGGAGGCCAGGACAATTCTTAATCATGAGAGACAATTTTCCTTATCAACCCAGGAAGAACTGACACAACAAATCTTACTAACCATCCCTAACCTGCCCAGTGGTTTCCTGCATTCTTTACTTCTCATAATTTGCCACCCCTAAAAGTCCTTTTCCTTTATCTTATCACTTCACTAAAACAAAAACTGTTGGGCCGGGGATTTAGCTCAGTGGTTTCGCCGCCTGCTGCACAAGCACAAGGACCTGAGTTCGATCCCCGGTACCCCACCCCCACCCCCGCAAAAAAAAAAAAATTATTTCGTGAAGATGTTGCCTAAGCCTAAATCCTAACCGCCTCCCCAAACTACTCAGCTCTGGGTACTCCCTCTGTGTTCATGTACGTTTCTTTCCTTTTCTCTTATTAACCTGTCTTCCCTTGGTCTAATTCACAGGGCTCCAGCTAATGAACCAAAAATGGGTACAAGGAAAAGATTTCTTTCTCTCCCCTGCAACAATTATTGGCCAAAGGAAGACACTGTCATGTCTACTTAGGGCCCATGGCAATGAAAAGAGAAGAGGCCTGAAGCATAAAACAAAGAAATTCACATGGTTCATCAAATCTTCAACAAATATTCCTATCAGTATGGTGGCACTGGGGAAAAGGCATTCTGACAGAGTTTATATCTGGACTGAATTGCTGCCTTTGATCAGTTCTATAGTAAGCAACTTGTGCAGTGATTTGATATTCTTTATTGGGGTGTTAATACAATCTGCAATAAGTTCTCACTGTTATTCTTTAATTCCTAAACCAGTACATTCTCCTCCCTGAAGAATGCATCTCCTCCCTGGATAGGTAGACTGTTAGCATATTTTCTCTGGGTTCTAGCAGATTTTGTTTGTCCTGGGCAGTTTCTTGTCCACACATTTCTTAGGCTCCAGAGGAAATGCTACCACACAAAAGAGGCCAGCTGATGCCACCTCTTGAATGAACATTATGCAAAGACAAACGCTACTTAAAATTTTAAACTCTCTTTACTCAGTAATAAACACTGGCTGGGTAGATGTCAACTGCAGCCACTGACGTCTTGAATCTACCAAATGTCATGCATTACTATATATAATCTAATAAGTTTAAGGCCTCTCATCTTTAACCAAATTTTAATTGCTTATTCGAGCATTTGTTAACCTACTTCATAAAATCACTATTTCTAACTCTCAAGCATGTGTTTGTAGATCTAACTCAACCCAGAGACAAGCTAGTGATGAACTTGACGTCTAACTCTATAAATTTTCTTGAACTTCTACACTGAGGAAAGTAACTATCCCTTTCCCTTCTTCTCCAGCACTAGATGAATATTTAAACCTTCTGAATTTTTCAGTCAGTATTTAATGAAAAATATCACTTGTTTATCACTTCACTAGAAGGAGATCCTGGGTGATTCACGGGGCTTTTTTCTAGCCAGGTGATTTATTTCCATGAAGGAGTCTCACAGTATTTACCTAAGGAAGATTCAAGGTGGTATATATCACAGAAATTTTAGCTAACTCCTGACCAAATAAAATATATGTTATCAAATTCATGCATGCTCTTGCTATAGTTAACTCAGAAATGTCTCTAGGACTTTATATGTCTTGCTTCAATCTATAAAGGAAGCATTAGCTCAACTCTGCTTTCCCTACTAATTCTAGCTCTTTACTCAAAAGCTTTCTTCTCTGAATTTTCTAAGTCTCTTCCTTAGTTTACATTTTCTCCTCTCCCTATGATACATTCTCAAACTGGTCTTAAGTAGAGTTAATAATTTCTCCTCCAAAGACTGCAATATAAATACATTTCCACAGAGTATTTGTTACATTGCATTATACTGTATACTATGTGTTCACCGTATAATGCACGCGTGTGTGATAGCCATGTATGCACCTAGGAGCGATGGGAGAGCATCACACCGCCCCCAACTGACACCTACACACCTCTCCCCTACAAGACAACCCTGTGAGAATATCCAAACCATGCCTCATTTATCTTTCTAACCTAGTGCTTTTAGTGTCTGGTACTATACATAAATGTTGCTGAATAAATAAAAGTTGAGTATTCTCAAGGCTAGTAGGCCAAATCTTTTTTGTTTTTCACGGATTACTTCTCTGGAGAGAAAAGCAGTTACTAACTAAATAATTTGCTATGAATTATGAAGAAACAGGTTAGCATTACTCCAGTAGTCCAGAAAGGAAAAAGGGAAGAAAAGAATATCTATTATTTACTCAGTGTTTCAGATCTTCTGAGAAGGAAGAAGTAGAAACTGAATTTCATGACTGATTATTCCTTGGCTCATGTTGCTTACTTGAGTATCTTGCATTCTGTACATGTAATGAAGTTTCTTTAGCACAATATGCCTTGTATTGAGAAGTTATAAATTCCATGTAGTCAAAAAGAGACCTGGTTTTTTGCCTTTCCTTCCATGTAATGACCAACAGCATTACTATTCCCACAGCTTTCCAGGTTTCACAGGGGACAATATGCTTTAGCTATCGTGAGAGGCCAGGAAGGATGCCCTAGCTTTTGTGTGTAAGTAAATGGTTGTATCCTCTGTGCTCCATTTCCCTCTCTGTGAAAAAGAAAAGCGTAATATTTAACAACGTCTCCAAGCTATTGTGAGGGTTAATTAGATGTAATGGGGGAAGGGAGGCAAGCTGATTAGGTACTATTCAAATTCAAAGTATCATTATTTTGTATCTAAAAATAATCCTGATTTAGGAATAAAAATAATTTGGAAGCTCAATCTTTGGCAATCATGTTCTCATGCTTAAAAAAAAGTTTCTAAACAGAATCCTATTCTAGGTACAATAAATGGAGATCTGTAAATTTCCATGGATCTTTGTAACAGCATACTGCACAGCTCAATTCTTTTTTCTCTCCTTTTATTGATAACATGCTGAAAGGTTAATTTTGTGGAATGCAGTAATGTAAATAAACAGAACCCATATTATTTTCTTTGTTTCCCAAGAATATTTATAAAAACCTTTACATTGCTTCAAGGACTCAATAATCAATATTTTGTGGTTGAAATACTTCTCAGATTGTTTCATTAAGTTCCGTTTATAATTTTATTCAAGAACTTGTCAATTAAAGATCTTAATATGCTCCAAAATTAAAAAAAAATATCCCTAGATATTTAAGGCTAAAGCCAGGGTGGGAGGAATTACCTCAATAGTAATCACCAAAATTAATTATAACACACTAAGTAACTGAAAATCTTCATGTGCATGTGAAGGCGGTACCTGAGAAAAGTCTTGGTTGTTGAGTAAATTTCACTAAAAATAGGGAAACATTTTTTTTAAAGGTTATGGTTGAAAATCTTGTGAAACAAGATCATATCTGTTAGAAGAAAATGTTCCATTCATAGTTTTCGGTAAGAGTTTTGGCTGAAAAGGAAATATGACTTTCTTTAGAACTGTTCAGAGGAAATGGACACTGCATAGTCCATTTAGAAATATAATCTCTATATAACAATGGGAATAATTCTCTTTAACATAGCCTTATTAAAACTCACCTAGACTAGACTTACTAAAAATAACCAGAACTTAAGACTGCATACTCACCAAGAAAACTTCTGGTTATTCATTCGATTTCCCCGGACCCTTGATACTGGGGATGGATGTACCCTGTAAGTAAATAAGAGTAATACAATCACTGAAAAAGCCTATTCCTGATTGCAAATGAAAAAAAATAGTACCTCTTTTAGAAATAATTGCTTTAAGGTTTGTTTCAGATAAAATGCCCTGAAGTTGATTGCCTAATAAATGGATGTAAATTCCTATGCCCACAAATCTGCAGGCCTTTTTCCTTCTTTACCTCTCTCAAGATAACAAGGGCCTTGTTATCACCTGGTTACTGGGAAGCTACCAAAGGCAGGAACACCAGTTTCAAATCTTATAGATAGCTGAGCAGGCAGACATATTATAAGGCAGTCAGATAGGGCTTTGTCCTTGAGAGTCAGGACAAAGGTGAAACACACCACAAGTGCGGCCAGAGACATATCTGTTGGAGACTGGGCCTCAAGATAAAGGCAAGATGACAGACTTGTATACTTCCTCCAAGGATAAACACGGAGCCTAATGAAGTCTAGATAGACATCAGCCACCTTAGTAGGTGACCAGGACCTCTGGATCCATCATTTCCTAGAAGAAGTCTTTGTTCCTTCCATCCATGCTTATTACGTGACTTGTTTCCCAAGTGGACCACTATTACCTAAGAGACTATACTTGTAACCTTATTGGTTGATCATGGCTGAGTTCCACACTGTACCCACATGGGTTTTGCTCTATAAAATTCCTCTATGAAGTAGGGTCCCTGGCTACTCATTTGGGTCCCTGGTAGCCTCTCAGGAGCTATTCTATCAATAAATATCTTCCTACTTTTAACCTCCATTGTTCCTAGAATTCATTCTTTGTATTTTAAGAGAACACGAGCTTCGCATATCAGACAGGTAACAGGCTAGGAGATACAATATTTTGATATTTCATCTCTGGTATCATTTTCTGTATCACAAAGACCTGATGAAATCATTCAACTGAACAGTGACTGAGCGCCTAATCTTTGCCAGATACAGAGTGGGAACAAGTACGGTTCCTGTCCCCCGTGAGCTCAGTTTGTACCTGTTCCTGAAAGGGGTACACAAAGACAGCAAAGAGTCAAATCTTAAATTGACTTCTAGATTTGAAACCCCAGAAAGCAAAACTTTACCCAAGTGTGCAGAAACATTATCTTGGGGCTGAGAGAAAAAGCTTGAATAGGTATTTCTGGGAGAAAGGCTTTCTGGAAGCGACACTGTACAACTGGGCTCTGAGGAAGGCGAGTTGATTCAAAACTGAGGAATATAAGGCTTGGCAAGTTTCCGGGGCTGGTGCCATTCAGGGTTGCAGTTGAAAGCTTCCAGGAACTGCCCATGGCCTCTAATCAGATGATAGCTGCTGGACCTCCATGTTTTCGTGAGTCACCAACTGGCAAAACACTATGCCAGCTGCCTACTTCCAGCTTCCTGGGAGCCAACATCCTGCTCTGGTCTATCTTTCTCAGGCTTTGTGAGCTCTACACAGTCTTTTAGCTTAGAGTATCTTCAAAATTTGTGCTTCAACGTAACTTTTATTCACAAGACCAGAAAGATAAATGAGGATTTTAAATTAGTTCCATGTCCAGTTGGAACCAACAGCTCCAAGGTTCTTTAAAACCTCAGTTCCTCCTCAGTGTTAGCAAGTGAGAATCAGGTCAAAACAGATACTGCAGTTCCAGTCCCTTCCCAGGCCCAACTGCACTTTGCACTCTAAAGGCTGATTTTTTTCCAGCATCCCTTATTAACATTCTTTTCCTTGCAGGCTTCTCAATGGCTGCTGCAGTTCAGCTGCTCAGCACAGATTTTCTGCTCGGCATGGGGGAGGGGGTGTTAATTATGCAGAAAGATGGAGGGAGGCCAGACAGCCCCTCTGGTGAACTGCCTCATTCAAGCGGGGCCCACTTCCTGCTGTTTTGCAGCTACAAGGATCACCTGTTGGTCTTGGCATCTGGCCAAACTGGGGCCTAGCGGAAATGACAGACTCAGCTAGAAATGAAAGCCGGCTCATATTCCAGGACCTCAAATTAGAGGGAGAAAAGGAAAGAGAGAGAGAGAAAGAAACGGAGGTGAGAGAAAGGGATATGGAGAGAAAGAGAGAAACATGCAACAAGAACACATTAAGACTTACAGAAAAAGTAGCACAACTCTTTCCCTCTGTCTGCATGAAATATAATCCTCAAAATGGACATGAGCCAAAAAATTTCTCCCCAGATAAAGCACCCTGACCTAAAGGAAATGCAAGAAACCCCCTGAATTGTCTCTGTACCCTCCCTGAGGTATGAGAATCCTGTTAAAGTGTCAAGGAGTAATCAGCCCCAAGTTCTCACAGTTCTTTCATTTACTCTATATCCTTTACCTCTTTACCCCTTTTATTGTATCCTAACCCTAAAAATACAAAAGAACTGTTTCATTTCACCATGGTAATTCTACCCACTCAAGTATGATGATGGAAGCTTCCTTTCATTGAGCTGATTACGATATAAAAATTAAAATAATTAAAATAAGAATAAAATACCACTATATACCTATTAGAATGCCTAAATCCAAAAACTGACTATATCAAATATTGACAAAAATGTGGAGCAACAAGAACTTTCATTTATTGCTGGTAGGAATACAAAATGGTACAGCCACTTTGAAAGACATTTTGGTAATTTCTTACAAATTTAATCATTCATCTTACTATGCAATCTAGCAGCTACACTCCTACAGATATACCCAGATGAGTTGAAAACTTATATTGACACAAAAACTAGCATGCAAATGTTTTGGAGCTTTATTTTAATTGCCAAAACTCAGAGACAACCAAGATGTCCTTAAATAGGTAAATGATAGACTGTGGTATATCTATATAATGCAATATTATTCCATGATTTTTAAAACTGAGCTATCAAGCTACAAAAGACATGGATCAACTTTAAATGCATTTTATTAAGTGAATGAAAGGTTTTAAAAAACTGCATTCTACACAACTTAATTATATGATATTCTGTAGAAAGCAAAACCTTGAGAGAGTAAAAAGATAAGTGGCTCCAAGAAGCTCAGGGAGATGAGAATAGAGTTGAATAGATGAAACATAGAGAATTCTTAGGGCAATGAAACTAAGTCATAAGATACTGTAATGTCAGACACATGACATTATGCACTTTTCAAATTCATAACATTTTATGCACAAAGAATAAACTACAAAATCTACAATCCTTTTTTAATCAAATCATTTTGCAATAGAACTCTACCTGCTGGGTAGCAGGATAGAAAAAAATGACACAGTTTTTTACTTCAGAGCTCAGTGCCTGGCCCACTAGGGTGAAATTCAGCATCAGACAGAAAGCAAAAGTCCTTGTTCCAAACCAGAGTTGGAAATGGAGTCTCTAGATCTGCTTTGGAAATAGGCAGAGAACTGTAGCCTAGTGAGACAGATTTAAGTTTTGGCCTGAATCATTGCTAGACTTGGAATGGACCAGTGCACAACCCCCACCCCACCTCCCAAGACTGTGCAGGTCCCTTCAACTGTGAGTCAAGTGTGACAAGTTTATCCTCAGCATTGGTGGCCAAAAGACTATCCCCATCACCACTCCTCCAATCCTGGCAACACAGCTATTCCCAGGCTGATGCTCAGAGAGGGAGCCCAGCACCAGAGACTTGGCCTTCATGGGGAAATTCATGCTTCAGCCTGGCACACAGGCAGCTGTGGCTCAAGCCTGGGTACACCCGTTATACTATGCAGGTCCTTGCAGCTGTGTGACTAAGCTGTAACCCAGCTTAGCATTAGTCTTTGTGGCTAAGTGACTGCCTTCACCAACACTACCCCAACCTCAATCTGTGTAGTATGGAACAGGACTCTATTCCTTGATAATAGGACAGAGTAGGAGGCACAGGACTTTGGCTTGTAATTCAGTGCCAGGCAGGTAAAATCTAAAACTGTTGGTGATCCTATCAATGCCCATTCACAGCCTGTTGTCATGGTCAGAATTTCTGGAGCTGTCACAATGGCAGGGACAGATACCATCCACTGAACTTAGACATCAGCTGTGGCTAATTATAGTGGTCTTGGAATACAAGTCCACCACAGCAGCAGGCAACCCATAACAATGTGGGCTTTGGTTTAACCCAAACGTTGTGCTAGGCTCAGTTGTCTGTGGGTACAAAGCATAACACAACATTACTGATTCCCCCACTGTGATTTTTGTCCTGAACCAGGCAGAATCCTACAGAGCCTGACCACAGGCTGGTAGCTGTGGATGAGGTATCTAGACCTACCCTTAAACCAGGGAGACATTTGTGAGAATGTGCTATCTTTTTATGTGATCCCCTGGTTCATACTGAATAACAAATCAACTGAGGATTTAGAAGAAACCTGGGCTTGGATTGCCCTCTAGTGCTGAAACAGTTACAACACACTAACAGTGGATTCATCAATTCTGAATTCAGATTGCCATCCAGTGCTAAAATCAAAGAACTGACTTGAGTCTCAGAAAAAATAAGCAGACTGCTTAGGATTTCTGGAAAGACAGGCAAAAGACTGGAATAAATAGCTAATACTCTGATGCACTGAGGATTTTACACACCAACAAGCATCAAAAACTTTCAGAAAAATGTGACCTCTCCTAATGGTCAAAATTAGCAGCAGAAATCAGCCATAACCAACATAAGTGAACACTTAGAGGGAAAATTTTTCAAAGATTTTAAAAAGAAACTCAAGCATTAAAAGGAGAAACAATTAAATACTCTAACTTTACAGAAAGATAGGAGCATTTTTTTAAAAAAGTCAAATGGAAATCCTTGAGCTGAAAAATACACTAAGCAAAATAACAAACATGATGGAAAGGCATCAATAACAGAATAAATCAAACAAGAAAGAATGAGTGGGCTTAAATACAGACTTTTTGAAAATACACAATTGGAAGGGAAAAAGAAGGATAAAAAAAGGTTACAGGAACTCCAGAACATTATAGAAACATCAAATATTTGGGCTATTAAGATGTAAGGATTTTAGAAAGCTTATTCAAAGGATAGAAAGCTCAAAAAGATGACAACATAGTCTCCCAAACC